ATTATATAACAATTGGGGAAAAGAATTCAATTGAATGTTTTGGAACCCAATCGATAAACATAGTAGAAATATTTCGGTACCTTGGTAAGCGTCTAAAAGGATGCAACAAGATACTAGCTAATTTTACACTGTTAAATACGGTCATCAATATATTGCCTGCTCACGCATTCGGCAATATCGGGTTCAACGAGATTACAATAATTGCGTTGAACCTGAGCCACATTCAGCGCGATGCTTTCCGTGGGCCATCCGAATACAGTGTTACAAAATTGACTATATTTCACGCGCCCGTTACAGAATACGCGGACAGTAATTATAGCGTATTTGGTGCCATAAATACTCTAAAAGGTTTAAATAAGCTGTTCATAGAAAGTACCGATATCACGCATATACCTGCCCGTGCCATACACTCCAATCCCAAACTAGAGTCAATTGTATTCAATACAAATACCAAACTAACCAAGATTGAAACGCACGCGTTTAGTAATCTACCGTCGTTAAAATTGTTAAGTTTTCAAAATAATCCAATAAGCGATATATCCCAGCATGCGTTCACTGTTGGGAATAGTAGTAAATCTATTTGGAGAACGGTTGGCAACTCTACAACAGTTAAACTTCATTTAAAGTTCTCGCGGGCAAAGTTGTCGTCACCAAACATTAGTACACAAGCTTTCAATGATATTCAACGAACAGTTGACCTGTATGTCAAAAATAGTAACTTGGAATACCTCGATATTGGTACGTACGAGCCGTTTTTGTTAGAAAACTCGCTAAATACAATTTATTCGGACATTAATTGTACGGATAGTAGAAATAAATGGCTGCGAGAAAAATACCAGCATCAATGGATTGATGATTGTTTAAAAATGCATAAATTATATAAATAAAAACTTAACATAGCTTGATATAGTTTACAGTATATTAAATGGTGGTCTGTTCAGCAAATTAGTCAAATAAACGGAAAAAAACATGTCTACTAAATTGAAACAAATGGCGAAACAATACTATTATCGCACAAATGGTATTAATTTTGATGAGAAAGACAATGAAAATAAAGTGTACACTAAATTATAAAGAAGAGTCATTAAATTTTTGATAATTAATAATTAACTAACTGATTATAACTAACAATATTGGTATTTCAAAATTTAATTATCAATAAATTATTGACAATAATAAAATAATTTTTAAATCTTTTATCCTATTTTAAAATATAAAATTATTACTGAATTTTATTTTCAAAATGATTATGCAACAACATTGTGTGTATTTTATTTTAACTACATTAAATAAAATATAGAAGTTTATTATACGCCAGAATGCTTGCTTATCCAATCGCGAAATAAACCAACCCTGGTGAATAGTGTTGGAAAGCCAATCAGAGCACATGGTTTGCCGCGTGACACAACACCAACCAAGGTGTTGTTAAATTTTAACGGTGAACCAGAATCGTGCTATGTAAATCGAAAAGATGTTAAACAAATAAGATATTCTTAAAATAACTTTGAATAATTGAATACGATTCATTTGGTTGTTCTTATACAGTATATACGATAATATAATTAATATTTTAATGTTAAAACTACTGTTTATTTATTAATTATCTATTACTAAAATAATCATATGTACATGTTTATTAAAAAGAATGCTCAAGTTAAAATTATACATACGAAACAAGGATCGTGACCCTGGCCACCGGCGCATACACTGTCTTCATCGACATGAATTTGTGGATATGTTTTATAATCATTGATACACTCATCGCGTTTGACAACCGGTATGTCTGTCGTCTGTAATGTCTCGGGGAGTGTCAGCGGATCAGTCATTTGTGTCAATCCCCAGCCTATAGACGTGACAATCTGGCCCTGTGTCAGGTCCGAACCCTGAACAGGTAATTTAATTATGTCCTGGGTCTTTTTATCAAGTTTGAATTGACCTTCAATTTGAAGCAGGGCTATATCGTTGCTGGAATTTGTACTATATAGCTCGTGGACTATGTACTTCAGCACCGGGTAGTCGGTGCCCGGTTTTGAACGCAATATTGTGCCGCAACGTAATGTCATTGTTTCACTAGGGTTAAAATATAATTATCTAGTTATTATAGTTAATTTTAATTTAATCAAAAATAATTATATTTACTTTTCATTGTAGACACAGTGGGCGGCCGTTACAGCCCACCTGTCGCTGATAATAGCGGCCCCGCACCCATGGGTGCCGTTATACCTGAGTGAACACATGTGTGGATTGTCACCGAGTTTAGCATCGTGGCCACTGATTATATACGAATTAACATGGTCAGATATGCTACTGGCCCAGCATGTGGTTATACCAAATAGCGTTAAGATTAATAACTTGAACATAGTAATTTAATTAAAATATAGTAAATGTTACAAATTATTTTACACAATAATTGTTTACTGTATTTTATCGTGGTTTATACACACGGAGAAAATAAGTCTTTCTGGCCTTAAAAATTTATTACGGGCGTGTTTCTAAAGTTATCAAGACCAAATTTTTTTTACAGATATGGAATCTCGGGACGCACAACATATAATTTTTTGAATAACCCAGCTACGTTTTTTACTGAGCAATTAAGCAAAATTTACCCAGCTAAAACTAAATTACATAAAAATTTTCTGACTTCACCGATAAATAAAGCATGAAAAATAAGTCGACACGTGTATTTTTGTTATAAATATAAATCGTTAATAAACGTAGAGGGACGATTTATAAAATCAATTTTCCTATAGAAAGTCCCACTGATTAGGAATTTCGACCACATCTGAGAAGCGGTTAAGCATTGATTGCAACAAATTTAGGAAAAACTCCTAATCAGTGGGACTTTCTATAGGAAAATTGACTTTATAAATCGTCCCTCTACGTTTATTAACGATTTATATTTAAAACAAAAATACACCTGTCGACGTATTTTTCATGCTCTATTTATCGGTGAAGTCAAAAAAATTTTATGTAATTTAGTTTTAGCTGGGTAAATATTGCTTAATTGCTCAGTAAAAAACGTAGCTGGGTTATTCAAAAAATTATATGTTGTGCGTCCCAAGATTCCATATCTGTAAATAAAATTTGGTCTTGATAACTTTAGAAACACGCCCGTAATAAATTTTTAAGGCCCGAAAGACTTATTTTCTCCGTGTGTATATACCACTTACAAACTTATGCGAACTTTATTGCATTATTTAATCAAGGTTCATATAAGTGTATTTTTATTAATCCGCATTGATTAGCTACAAATAAATAGTTATTTATCAATTTAAAAAATCAGAACTTATATCTTTTATTTTATATGAAATATTTTACCTTATATTTAATAAACTTGGTTTTATTTACCTCGATTGTTAATTAAATAGTTTTTATTATAAAATAAGTTAATAAAAATCTTCGTTACCAGCAACCAATCATAATTTAAATATTAAACTAATATAATTAAACTCAATTAAATTAATGTTTATATTTATCATTTTATAGAAAATAATTATATAATTAATAGAAATATTGTATTATTAATTGGTAACAAATTACAAATTGAAAATTTATATTTTATTTTTAAAATTGTCCAAGTTGACTTAACAACAATGTAAATATAATAATAAACTCATATTTATAATTTTGTAGTATTTTAGTTATCGGATAAATAAATTACAATATTATATAATCATCAATGTAGATTAAATTTACACCCCATGATATTACTGATAATTACACGTGATAATTATTGAGTTATTTAAAACATTAAAGTGCCAATTCATTAGCTATCACAAAACAATACATACTCAACATCTCAAAAAACACCGATGGTTAAACTACCAATTTCTCAGAAACGCTTAACAAAAATCTACAATAACTTACAATTGCATTATGATAACTAAAACAATTACTAAGAAAATATTCTCACGCCTTATACACTTAATTATTTAGGACAGTTTGTCTAGCTCACTTAAATAACTAAAATCATATATCATTTATGTAGTAAATAATTCATATTAAATTATTCATAATTATTACAAATAAAATGTTCATTCAAATCATTGTTATAATTAGTGTAACTGCCGGTTATGCCACTGTGCCCAACTCATACCGAGTGGCCAATAATAAAGCAATAGACTCAAAAATTATTGGTGGCCACGATGCTTACCCCGGTGATGACCCACACATGTGCTCATTAAGGTTAGACAATGAGCACTCGTGCGGTGCCTCAATCATTGGGTCTCAATGGGTAGTAACCGCTGCCCATTGTATTTACGCGTATGTTATATAAGGCGAGATTTTTATATTAAAGTTGTAATTATTTATTTATTTAAACATACTCAGAACTGAACCAGCTAGATTGTCATTACGATGCGGCACTTTATTACGCGAGGGACCTGGCTTGAATTTTACAATCAACTCGACCGTTTGTCACGAAAAATTCAACTATGACACTAAGGATTATGACATAGGGTTAATACAAGTGGTGGGCGATATACCAATAGGTTCAGGTGTAATGGATACGATAGGGTTGCCACCGCAAGACCTTGATATTGTACCGGCTGGCATTATGACCACGGTGACCGGTTGGGGTTATATGAGCAATGCGGGTGAATTGGCCAATAAATTACAGACACTGGATTTGCCAATGGTCGATAGGACCACGTGCATTACTGACTACCGAGATGGTGGTTTTGTGATCACGGATTATATGTTTTGCGCTGGAGACGAAGTAAATAATAAAGATACGTGCAATGTAAGTTGATATTTATTTATAATTATTTTACAATAAATATAACGTTAGATTTTAATTAGCATTACTATTAATTAGTCAATTATGATATCTATTAATTTAAATAATTTGTTAATAGTATGATTCCGGCGGACCATTAAAATATAAAAACACCTTGGTGGGTATTGTATCGTGGGGTATGGGCTGCTCAGTACCTCACTATCCCGGTGTTTATACAAGAGTTGCAAAGTTTAGAAACTGGATTAAAAAATTGTCCGATATTTAGTAATATTAATTATCTATTTATGTTAAATTATTATAATTCAGTTTATTTATTTTTAACAAATTAAAAATAATTTATTTAAAATAAAATTTAATAAATATTAAAAATTACAGCATTACAATGGTTATTTTAATTTCCTATTGGTTATCTTTGTGAATTAGTATAAATTAGGATTGTTTAATACTTCAGTATAAAATCTTATCAAAACACAATACCTGTCATTAACTTACAGAGAAAACTCCGTTGGTAAAATTAAGCAATTTTCAAACAAACAAGCACTTTAAAAAAATCAGTTAACATTTAATAAGATAATTTCAAAATTCACTTCAAATATTCACATGACAATTGAGCTAGGCATAATCATTTTGCAAAATTGTCTACATTAATTATTGAGACATTAAAGTTAATTTAATAGCAGCATATGTTGTAATAAAATGCTAATTAAAAGCATAGTAATAATATGCTTAATCGCCGGTTACGGAGCGGTACCGGCTGTGCGGACTCGAGTGGGCATTATTGGTGGCACTGATGCCAAACCGGGGGATAACCCGCACATGTGTTCACTGAGAATAGATGGCGGCCATCAGTGCGGGGCCTCAATCATTGGCACTCAATGGGTAGTCACCGCCGCCCACTGTGTCGCTGAGTAATATATAAATGTTTATTACCTTATTTATATTAATAATTATGCATATAATAATTTTTAATTTTTTTGTCATGGTTAGAGGTGGACTAGTAAAACCGACACAATTACTGTTACGGTGCGGAACTTTATTACGCGAAAAGCCGGGGTTTGATTTTAATATTAGCCAGGTGTTACCCCATGAAAAGTATGACAGGGCTAAAACAGATTATGATATTGCCTTGTTGAAAGTGGTTGGTGAAATTAAACTAGGAACGCCGACCATGGACAAAATAGCGCTGCCCGCGCAAGACATTGACCTGGCACCTGATGGTGCGATGACCACGGTAACCGGTTGGGGTCTAAACGGAGCAGGAGTGTTACCAGAGAAGTTACAAACACTGGACATACCTGTGGTTGATAGGGCCACTTGTATTAAAGATTACAGTAAATCATCTATATCGGATTTTATGTTTTGCGCTGGTTATGACGAGGGTAAAAGGGACTCATGTAGTGTAAGTATTAGTAATAGATATTTTAGATAATTAATAATGTTATAACAAATATGTCATAACAAAAACTATCCAGAGTTGGTATTAATAATGCATTTTATAGGCTGACTCAGGCGGTCCATTAAAATATAAAAACACCTTGGTGGGTGTTGTGTCGTGGGGCGCCGGTTGCGCCGAACCTCATCATCCAGGAGTTTATACACGGGTGGGAAAGCTTAGAGATTGGATCAAGTTGCACTCTGGTATTTAAATACTCTGAATTATATAAGTTTGAAAACTTATTGTAAAGAATTATGCAAACAATTTATAACCATTTAATTTAATAAAGTTTAATTAATAACAATGATTAAGTTAATTTATTTAAATCTAACTAAAATACTATATTAATAATATAAATGTGAAACAATATTGTATTTAACCCGGAAGATATCATTCATTATTATATTGATATCATTTTAAGATAAAACAGTATGTAATTAACTAATCAAAACTCCGTTGGTAAACTTAAACAATTCTACGAAAAAACACTTTATAAAAATCAGCTAAAATTTATGATAATACATTATTAGAAATCATTGCAAAAATCACATAACACTTAATAAATTAAACATTATCAATTTAATCATATAGCATTTTTGTGCTATTTAAACAACAAATAAAATTATTTAAAAGCAAACTGATGGTAAAAATGCTAATAAAAAGCATAATCATAATATGTTTAATCGCCGTGTATGGCGCTCTACCGGCTGTGCGTAATCCATACCGAGTGGCCAATAATGTGCGGACCCGAGTGGGCATTATTAGTGGCATTGATGCAAAACCCGGTGATAACCCACACATGTGTTCGCTCAGGATTAATGGCTCCCATCAGTGCGGGGCCTCAATCATAGGTTCCCAATGGGTGGTCACCGCTGCCCACTGTTTAGTTCTATTAGAGTATGTAATTTTAAAGTACCTTGTTATATTGATGTGTATTTATATTATCAGTGTTATAAATTATAATTAACAAATTAATGATTTATTTTTAATGTCGGTAGTGTGAAACCAACAGAGTTATTATTACGATGCGGCACATTATTACGCGAACAGCCCGGCACTGATTTCAATATCAGCCAGATAATATCGCATGAAAAGTATGACGATCCAAATTATGACATAGCCCTATTGAAAGTGGTTGGTGAGATTAAGCTTGGTACATCCGCCATAGACAAAATAGCGCTACCCTCGCAAGATGTTGACCTAGCACCTGCCGGTGCGATTACCACGGTGACCGGGTGGGGACAGAATGCAACAGGTTATTTATCAGAAAAGTTACAGACATTGGATGGACCGGTGGTCGATAGGGAGACCTGTATTAACGACTACAAAGACTTTGATGCTAACGGTGTGTACCGGATATCAGATTACATGTTTTGCGCCGGTTATGATGATGGTAAAAATAATTCGTGTCATGTAAGTAACATAAGTACATATTAGTATTAATGTTAAGAAAAGCCCCAATAATTATATACAGTATGACTAGTAATCTTTAGTATCATTGATTACTGTATCTGATAGTAGTAAATAATATATTTATGATACTATCAGTTAAAATAAATTGTTTGATGATTTACTAGGGTGATTCAGGTGGGCCATTAAAATATAAAAACACCTTGGTAGGCGTTGTGTCATGGGGCCCAGGAGACTGCACCGAACCTCACTATCCAAGCGTTTATACACGGGTTGGAAAGTTTAGAGATTGGATCAAGCTGCACTCTGGAATTTAAATATGTTGTTAATTTATAACGCCAACATATTTACTTTTACCAATATTTAAAAATTGTAAGAATATTTAAGATTTTAGAAATTATAAAATGATAATAATTAATTGATATTGTAATAAATTTACACAAAGAATATTAGTGCTGGGAATATTGCACAAAGAGCTATTATTATTTGATGGTAATTTTATTAAATTATATTATGTTTTATAAATTACTTTAATAATAAATAGAATTTAAATTGATAATTTATACAAATCAAATTAATTATTAATTGTTAACTATTAACTAAAAAATTCCTTGAAATAATAACTAATAACTAAAGAACAGAAATAATTATCAATGCACTTGATTAAAATATGGTACGCTTAATTTATCACTAATTGTGATTTACTATATATTTCATTAAAGAAACGCAAGTGTTACTAGCTAAAGAATTAAGTACTAGATATATTTTAACTAGAAGTTAATGTCATATTTATTTTTATCTATTAAATATTTACAAAATAATAATATGGCTATATAGTGACAGAAGGCCAATATGCACATGAAAATAGGCATTAATAATTTTTGTTAAAGTCGAGCCTTATTACTAAAAAAAACTGAATTGTAAAGTACTTGATTTTAATGTATATTATTTTATATGAGATAATTTACCTGTATAAATACAAGCTAAACAATATACTTAATATCAGATAATTTACTTAAAATTCTGTCAATAAAAAGCAGAATAAGGGAAAATAAAATGTTAATTAAAAGCATAGTTATAATATGTTTAATGGTCTGTTGCGGAGCCGTATCGGCACGAGTGCTGACCCGAGTGGGCATTATTGGCGGCACTGACGCAAAACCCGGTGATAACCCGCACATGTGTTCGCTCAGATTTAATGGCACCCATCAGTGCGGGGCCTCAATCATAGGCAACCAATGGGTGGTCACCGCTGGTCACTGTGTCGTAAAGTATGTATTTTATTTTAAAAATTAACAAGATAATTAATTTATAAATCAACATAGTCATAACACAAATGTCACCAAGGAACCAAAAGCATT